GGGGGGCTGCGATCTGTGAAACTGTCGCCATTTTCGAGGCCTGCTGGGGGGCCCAGCACAGTGAGGGCCACGCGCGGATTCAAATTAGACCTCGCCATCCCTGGGGGGCTGCGATCTGCGAAACTGTCGCCATTTTCGAGGCCTGCTGGGGGGCCCAGCACAGTGAGGGCCACGCGCGGATTCAAATTAGACCTCGCCATCCCTGGGGGGCTGCGATCTGCGAAACTGTCGCCATTTCGAGGCCTGCTGGGGGGCCCAGCACAGTGAGGGCCACGCGCGGATTCAAATTAGACCTCGCCATCCCTGGGGGGCTGCGATCTGTGAAACTGTCGCCACTTTCGAGGCCTGCTGGGGGGCCCAGCACAGTGACGGCCACGGCGGATTCAAATTAGACCTCGCCATCCCTGGGGGGGCTGCGATCTGTGAAACTGTCGCCACTTTCGAGGCCTGCTGGGGGGCCCAGCACAGTGACGCCACGGGCAGATTCAAATTAGACCTCGCCATCCCTGGGGGGCTGCGATCTGTGAAACTGTCGCCACTTTCGAGGCCTGCTGGGGGGCCCTGCACAGTTACGCCACGGGCATATTCAAACGAGACCTCGCCATCCCTTGGGGGCTGCGATCTGTGAAACTGTCGCCACTTTCGAGGCCTGCTGGGGGGCCCAGCGCAGTGACGCCACGGGCAGATTCAAATGAGACCTCGCCATCCCCTGGAGGCTGCGATCTGTGAAACTGTCGCCACTTTCGAGGCCTGCTGGGGGGCCCAGCACAGTGACGCCACGCGCGGACCCAAATTAGACCTCGCCATCCCTGCGGGGCTGCGATCTGTGAAACTGTCGCCACTTTCGAGGCCTGCTGTGATCCCCGTTTTCGAAGTGGCTAGGAGTGCTCAGGAATTGTAACTCATCAGCTTTATCAAGCCCTTTTCCTGTAGCCAGTGTCCTGCGAGTCTCCCGAATTCCGTCTGCAGACATATGTAACCCTCGCTCCGTCATCGCCCCCTTATAAAGTATCCTAAACTATTTGCGCCCCGCTTTTGCGCAGGGGTTGGGTACGTCGCCAGGGTAAGTTTTGAATCTTGCGAAGGCCTTACGGCCGGTGCCGCCGACCCTGGAGGGCGACCCATGCGTTCTCGTATGTGGCGGGGGGGGCGTCGTATCTGAGTGGCGCCCCCCCCCCGGGACCCCCCCCCGGGACCCCCCGCTACCCCCCCCCCCCCTCCCGGCGGGGGAGGGATCAAAGGGAAGGGGCTTCCCTTCGACTCAAATACGACGTTGCTGAAGTTCATTTGGGCTGGCGCGCTTGAGCAGGGGCCCCTGCTGGGAAAGAGGACGGGAGTGGCGACGGGCCCACGGAAAGGGAGGCGCAAGGAAGGGGGACGACAGAGACGACGACCAACGAACAACGGGGATGACGTCTCGAACGGAAAAGCCCCTCACACACGCCGACAGGGTCGGCGGATTTGTAGTTTTTCCGCCAAAATCCGCCTGTAGGGGGACTCGCCCGTCCTAACCCTACAGGCGGGTTTTGGACGAAGAATATACAAAACCGCAAACATACTCAACACAAGTATGCAAACATAGGCACAACATCGCCCCCAGACTATACTGTTGACTAACATGTTCCTCCTGTAGAGGGGCAGGCCCGACTTACTCCAAATCCCTTATTCATTGTCCCAAGGGTCCGTTTATGTTACGGCGCCCTTTTCGTAATTGCGGGGGCCCGGTTTATTAGGGCGCTTTCTTTGGATTGGAGCTTAGGGGGTCTGGCTTATTGAGGCGCCCCGTCGAAGAGGGGGGTCCGGAATATCAGGTCGCATCTGGAGGGGGGCCCAGTTCTTTCGGGGGGGTCGATTAGTAAGGGACCTGGAGTAACTCCGGCCGTGCTCCACGACGGACTCGCCCAGGAAGTGGGCGCGCCCGCGCCGACAGCAGCCGCCCGCGAGCTCCCCGTCGCAGGCTCGTCCCCGCGCAGACCGCACACGGCGAGGCGGGCTGGGATGAGCCCGCTGCGGGAGGGGGAGGAGGAGGAGGAGGAGGAGGAGGAGGAGGAGGAGGAGGAGGAGCAGGAGGAGGAGGAGAAGGAGGAGGTGACCTTGCTTCGACCGTGCCGCGGTGCGCGCCGGCGCGCGCCGAGGCGCGCCCGACAAGTGGCAGCACTGCCTGCCGTCCAGCCGGCTGTGCAGCTTCGAGCGGGAGCTGGGCCAGGCCCGGGTGCTCGCCCCCCGCGGCCGCCGCTCCGACGGCGGCGGCGGCGGCGACCACGACGACGGCGACGACGACGACGATGATGACGACGACCACGACGACGACGACGATGATGACAATGACGACGATGACGACGACGACGACGACGACGACGACGACGACGACGACGACGACGACGACGACGACGACGACGACGACGACGACCCCGACCACGACCAACTTTTGGGCACCTGCTGCCACGGACTACGGATCCGTGGATCTCTGGCTCGTGGGCGCCCGATCCGCGGATCGGGGACGGCACCCGCCGAGACGTGAGGCCAGGTGCCGCCTCACTCGGCGACGGAGCGCGCCGATGCCGTGCAGACGCGGGGGGTCCGTCGCCAAGCAGCGCGCCTTAATGCATGTTTTCGTTTCCTCGACAGTTGGATTTCGTTCGCTCTTGCTTTCTCGCGTGGCACTCCTCTTTGGTGTATCTGCCCCTCCCTCGTGCGCGCCGCCCTTCAAGGAAGGCTACGAGTGCACCCCTCGTGGGGGAGTCTTCTGTTCTTCGTGCCGGCTCCAGGGGTGAACCCCGGGGGGGGCGGGGGGAAGCACGAGAACGACGTCTCGGACCCATGAATGGGAAGCAGGAGGAGGGGGGCAAGGAAGGACAGGAGGGACGAGAGGATGTGGGGAGGAGGGTGGAGGGAGTGAGGGCCTGCCCTGGGAGAAGGGGATGGGGAGTGGGGAGTGAGATCGGGCGGGCCCTCTCAGAAGGCTCGGAAGTCCCCCAGCCTTCTGAGAAGATTTCTGGGCCGCCCCGGAAGACGCAGAACACTTCTCAGAAGGCGCCGAGGGCTGCTGAGGAGCCCCGCCGCCCTCTGAGCAGGCCTTCTCCTTCTCATCTCCCCCCCTCGCTCGCCGCCCACAGGAGGAGGGGAGGGGCAGCGGGGCGGAGGGTGGAGGCAGCGGGGGCCCGCCCTGGGACATCTGGAGCTCCGGGGCCCTGCCGGAACGCAGCGGGCCGCACGGGCAGAAGCGGAGCGCCTGGGGCAGCGCTATGGCGCCCTCGGCGGGGAGCGCGCGCTGCCCGAGCAGGCCCGCGAGGAGGAAACAGGAGGAGAGGAGGAAACAGGAGAGGAGGAAGCAGGAGAAGGAGGAGGAGAAGGAGGAGGAGGAGGAGGAGGAGGATCAGGGAAGAGGAGGAGGATCAGGGAAGAGGAGGAGGATCAGGGAGGAGGAGGAGGAGGAGGAGGAGGAGGAGGAGGGGGAGGGGGAGGAGGGGGAGGGAAGGGAGAAGGAGGCTTCTGGTGAGCAGGCCGGCGAGCGAGGTCGGCTCGGGGAGGGGTGCAGTCGGGGCGGGTCGCGGCGGGTCGACCCCGTGAGATCGGGACTGCCCTTTTGTGTCCTGCGTCTCGCGAGCAGCGCCTTCTACATTCCTACGGCGGCGGGGCCCTGGGAAGGGTCTTGTGGCCTCTCGCGCGCCCTCTCCAATCGTCCTCGACTGTACCCTCGTGCTCTTCGTGGTTGTTGGATTTTTGGCATCGCCACTGCGCCCTGGCAACGCCCCGCGGGTGCGCCCTGGCCTCGTCCCCGGCTGCTGCCGCGGCCCCCGCTGGCCAGGCTCGCCGTTCCAGCTTGCTCTTCGCGGAACTCTTCCACGCTTGAGCGTTTCACCCCCTTTCCCCCCCCCCGCGCGGCTGACCTCGTCTTCGTTCCTTCCAATTGCACGCCGTACAACATTTTGCCTTTCGGTTGCCCCGATCAGCCCCGCGCTGGTGCGGTCCGCCTGTGCCTCGCCGCCGACGGAAGCAAGTGTGTTGGATCTCCTCGTGCATCCTGGGGAGGGTGCCCTTGGATGTTCTGTGTGTGTGTTTTGGCCAGCGAGGGCCTCGTGGTCTTGGACGATGCTCTCATGTCCTGGGTCCGGCTGTCCACTCGCGAGGGCCGGCCGAGCGGGAGCCTGCGCTGGCCCGAGCAGGCTGCGCGGGAGCCCTTGGGCTCGAGCGCCAGCTCCCGAGTGCGAGGGGCCGCCTCTGGCCCAGGCCGTCTCCGAGAAGGCTGCGAGGGGGCATCGAGCGGGAATAATCAATGCCGTCGCTCGGCGGCGGGCGATGGGGGCTGGAGGGGGGGCGGGGAGGAGGAGGAGGAGGAGGAGGAGGAGGAGGAGGAGGAGGAGGAGGAGGAGGAGGCCTTCTCGGAAGGCGGCAGGGCTTCCAAGAGGGCCTTCTTGGCCTTTTGAGCAGTTCCCCGTGGCTCCGGGGGAAGGGCTGGGGTCTGCTTGCTCAGGGGGCCCGAAGGCTTCCGAGCCTTCTGAGAAGGCCCGTCCCCTCTCACTTCCCCCCTTCACCACCCACCAAACCACCCCAACCCAACCCGAAGGCCTCAATTTGCCCTCCATTTCCAGTGGGGGGGGGGTCGGGGAGCATCGAGAAAACACATATGGAACCCGTACCCCCCCCCAACCCGAAATTCGGGTCTTCGGGTTGGGTTGGGGTGGTCTGGTAGGTAGTCACCCCTGGGCTGGCCGCCGAGCCGCGCATGGTTTTCAAGAGGCCAGCGTCGGAAGCCGAGGCCGCGCACCGAGCGGGAGCCTCGCGCAAGAGAGAACAGGCAGCCAGCGCCGAGGCGACCGTGCCGTCGACCCGACTAGTATCAAGTCGCTGGTTTGTTTAAAAAATGGTCGTCCAGCATCCGCCTGCAGGGGGACACGCCCGACCTGAAGCTTGCCGCGCTGCATCCTTCCCCTGCGCCGCGCCCCTTCTCGCAAAGTGTCCTCGTGGACTTCACTTCGAAGGCCCTTGCATGCTTACCGCGCATCCTTGCTAGATGGGTCGAATGTAGATCTATATCTGTATATCTGTATCTCTCTCTATATATATATATGTATCGCAGCAGTCCTGCGAAGTTGCACTCGGCGGACCACCGCCACCAGTGAGGCCACTTGTTGGGCCAACTTTTGGCCAAGCCAGATTGTTCCCACAGCCGCTGTGGAAACTCTTGGGAGAACACTTGGGGGAGGAAGATCGAGGGAAGAACCAGGAAAGGAAGGAGGAGGAGGAGGAGATGGAGGAGGAGGAGGAGGAGGAGGAGGAGGAGGAGGGGAGGAGGAGGAGGAGGAGGAGGAGGGCTGGAGGAGGGAGGAGGAGGAGGAGGAGGAGGAGGAGGAGGAGGAGGAGGAGGAGGAGGAGGAGGAGGAGGAGGAGGAGGAGAAGGAGGAGGAGGCCTCTTGGGGACATCCTGTGTGCTTCCTGGGATCCGCTTGGGGGCCTCTCGGGGCCTGCTGGGGGGTCTCAGATGAATTCTGGGGGCTCCAAGGGACATCGGATGCCGTCTTTAGGGCCTCTCAGGGCCGTCGTGAGGCCCTCTTTGGGCGCTGGAAGGCCGTCTTGGAGGTCTGTGAAGCTGTCCTAGGGGCCGCCGTCTTGGTGGCCTTTTGGGCTGTCTTTGTGTCTTTTTGGCCCTGCTTGGGTTCGCCATCTTGGACCCTCTCGGAGCTTTCTTGGACTGTCTTCAGGTTTTCTGGCCTCTCCTTGGCCGCCTTGGGGCTCTCTGGCTTCGGGAAGGCTCACGCGACACACTCCGGGGGCGCTCAAGAGCGCTCGAAACATTTGGATATCCAGAGGCTCGGCGCCCTTGATAATGCGTAAATCCGCCACACACTTACACTTGTATGAGCCTTGTGCCACTCAACTACGTGCTGAAGGCACGGTTGCGGAGGATGCATGTTCGGGTCTCTTGGGGTGCCCACCGGGGGTTTTGGAAGTTTAAGTCTCGCGGGGCCTCTTCGTACCTCTTTCTTTTAAGGCATCTGGGGGCTTCTTGGGGCCTCTGTGGGCATCTCGGGGCGTTTGGGGAGCCTCTTGGGGGCAGGAGTCCGACGACGATGTCAACGGCGGCGGCGGCGGCGGCGGTGGTGGTGACGACGACGACGACGGCGGCGACAACGGCGGCGACGACACTGACCATTCTGACGACGACGACGACGACGACGACGACGACGACGACGACGACGACGACGACGGCGACGTAAACGCGGAGCGCGCGGGCAGGGACGTGCAACGCGCTGCCTCTCGAGCCCCAGCATCTCTTTTGTGTTGCTGCCGTGGTCTGTTTGCTTTTCTGTCCTGTGCTGCCGCTGCGCCTGGCGGAGAGAACGAGGGCGCGGAGGAAGAGGAAGAGTAGGGCTAGGAGGAGGTGGAGGAGGAGGAGGAGGTGGAGGAGGAGGAGGTGGAGGAGGCAGGAGGAGAAGGAGAATGATGAGGAGGAGGCAGAGGAGGAGGAGGAGGAGGAGAGGAGGAGAAGGAGGCGGAGGAGGAGGAAGGAGGAGGAGGGGAGGATGAGGAGGAGGAGGAGGAGAGAGAGAGGAGGAGGAGGAGTCGAGGAAGATAAGGAGGGAGGAGGCGGGAGGGCGAGGATATGAGGCCAGAGGAGTTGATCTGCGATGCAGCAGCGGTGTTGGAAGACACCTCACGTGCGCTAGGGGGGGGGGGGGGGGGGGGGGGGCTGCACGTGCGCGGCGTGAGCGTCGGGAGCCCGGAGCGCCAGGAGCGCAGCGGGGCAGCCGCTCTGCCTCCTCCTCCTCCTCCTCCTCATTCTCGATCCTCCTCCTCGTCCTCCTCCTCCCTCCTCATCCTCCTCCTCCTCCTCCTCCTCCTCCTCCTCCTCCTCCTCATTCTCGATCCTCCTCCTCGTCCTCCTCCTCCTCCTCCGCCTCCTCCTAACGTTGTTTTTGGCCTCTGGTGTCCAAGGCCCCAGGGGCGCGGCTCCAGCGGGAGCTGGGGGCCGCAGCACCCCGTGGCGAGGACCGCGCGCCCCGACGGCGCGGCCCCCCGTTTCGTCCTCTCCGGGGCCGCTCCTTCTTCTCTCTGCGGCGAGCGCGCGAGGGGGGGGAGCGAGGGCGGGGGGGGGAGGCTTCGGGTTCGAGGGCGCGAGGGGGCGGTTTTCGGACGTTTTCGTCGGTCCTCGACGGTATTCCAGCCCCGGGGTGCGCTCCAGTGGCTGCGCCTCGGCGAGAGCGCTCCGGGGTGCCGGGATCGTCCGGAACGGCCGCCAGAGATTCGAGTTCTGGCCCAAAAATCCGATTCGGCGGCGCGCCCGGGGGGGAAGCGAGAAGGAGAAGGCCTTCTCAGAAGGCGGCGGGCCTCTCAGAAGCCTTCCGGCCTTCTGAACAGTTCCCCGTGTCTTCGGGGAGGTTGTGTGACACCTTCTCAGAAGGTCTGGGGACTGCCGAGCCTTCTGAGGAGGCCCGCCCGTTCTCACTTCCCCCCCCGGGCTCGCCGCCGATTCCGCTCGCGGGGCTCCCCCCTGTGCACTTCGCTTTGCCGTGGCTCAGCGCTTGCTCTAACCGGCTCGCGCGTCCGCCGAGCCCGAGACAGACCTGTGCCCCGGGGCTTTCGTCAGACAAACAATGTCGTCAGAAGTGTACAGAATTCTTCAGACAGCAAGGGTATCTGAAATATGCGGGTGAATTCTGAAACTTTCAGGCGAATTCTAGAGAGTCTCCATACAACCCACCAAACATCGAACCACGAGAAGATTCTGCTGAGAAGCGCACCGCAGAGGCGGCGAGCAGGCGGCAGGGCGCGGAGGGGCCGTGCGAGCCAGGGGGGAGAATGGGGCACGGCAGGCCGAGCGCGCAGCAGCCGGGCGCGTCGGTGATCCTCGTGACGCGCGCGCGAGCCCAGTGTGTCGCCTCAGGTGTGAGTTCGATCTCGATCGCCAGTGTGTCGCCTTAGTGAGTCGCCTTACGGTAGGTTTGCGTCGTGTCGACCAGCGGCGACCCCAGCGCGGGCGTTCAAGGTTGAACGCCGCCGGCGACCCAGAATCGATCGATGTTGAACGATCGGACGTTGCGGCAGCGGCCGATCGTTCAAGGTTGAACGATCCCTGTGGTGTCAAAAACCAACGCTGGGGTCGGCACGACACGAACTTGCCGTAGGCCTGTTGCTCTACAGGAGGAATATTCAAACATGACAAAAGAATAATTTGGGGGCGACGGTTCGAGTATGTCTGAACAGATTTGAATCCGCCTGTAGGGGGACATGCCCGACCTAAGCCTAGGTGGGAGTTCGATCTCGGTCTCTAGTCGAGCGGCGTTTCTTGGTTGAGCGCGCCTTGCCCCACGTCGCCGCGACCCTCAAAAGGCCCAATTTGTGCTCACCCCGTTCAGCTCCACTGATAGCACGCCGCTCGCGTCACGTGTCGGCTCTCAGTGCGAGGCCTGGAGGGCTTCGGTGGATGCGCACACGCTGGCGCTAACTCGCGTTCTGGGGATCGTCGAGCTGGGCGAAAAAAGGCCATGGGGGAACTTCGCCCACGACGAGACTACAAAACCACCCGATCGCCCAGCTCACCGTCGTCTGCTCTCCTGTAGCCCCCCAGCGGCGTTTTAGCCAAACCTGTGGCGCCCTCAGCAGTGTCCGCTCTTCTGAGGCGTGGTAGGACACACCGACATCACCGCAGTCCACCTGGCCGCGTTCGCGTCAGAGGCTACGTGCATGGCTCTACTTGGTGATGCGGTGTCCTCCTCTTCCCTCCCCTGTCCTCGTTTTCCCCCCTCAATCCTGTCCCCCTCGCATCCTCCCGTCTCCCCGCCTTCTAACTTCTTCAGGAAGGGAAAAAGCGAAAGTGCGCCAGTGGATCTCCCTGAATACACTAAAGGAGGGGGGGAGGTCCAGAACCCCCCCCCCCTCCCCCCTTCAAGGGGGGGGGTCTCCCCTGCCCCCCTTAAGGGGGGGGAGGGGGTTCCCGAACCACCCCCCCGCTCCCTTGAAGGGGGGGGGGTCGGGACCCCCCCCCTCACCCCCCCCCTCTTCCCCTGGCGCTGGAAAAGAACGGGGGGGGGTCGGACCCCCCCCCTCGTGCAGGGAGAGTACGGAGTTGGGAGTAGGGAGTGGGAGTGTTGAGTAGTGAGTTAGTGCGTAGTGAGTAGTGAGTATTGGGTAGTGAGTAGTGGGTAGTGAGTGGCGAGCGAGTAGGGAGTAGGGAGTAGGGAGTGGGGAGCAGTGAGTAGTGAAAAGTGAGTAGTGTGTATTGATAAGTGAGTAGTGAGTGGCGAGTAGTGTGTAGTGAGTAGTGGGTAACGAGTAGCGAATAGTGAGTACTGAGTAGGGAGTAGGGAGTAATGAGTAGTGGGTAGTGAGTCGTGGGTAGTGAGTAGTGGGTGGCGAGTAGTGGTTAGTGAGTAGTGACTAGTGGGTAGTGCGTAGTGCGTAGCGAGGAGTGAGTAGTGAGTAGTGAGTAGTGAGTAGTAGGTAGTTGAGTAGTGAGTACTGAGTAGTACGTAGTGCGTAGTAAGGAGTGAGTAGTGAGCTGTGATGAAAAGAGAGTAGTGGGTAGTGGCAGTGGGTAGTGAGTAGTGAGTAGCGAGTAGGGATTAGCGAGTAGTGAGTGGTGAGGAGCGAGTAGGGCGTAGTGAGTAGTGAGTAGTGAGTAGAGAGTACTCAGTAGTGAGTAATGGGCAGTGATTCATGAGAAACGAGTAGGGAGTAGCGAGTAGTGAGTAGCCAGTAGTGAGTAGGGAGTAGGGAATAGTGAGAAGTGAGTAGTAAGAAGGGGGTCGCGAATTGTGGGTAGTGAGTAGCGATTGGCGAGTAGTGGGTAGTGAGTAGTGACTAGTGAGTTGTGATTATAGTGACTAGAGACCATGTAGTGACTTAGTAAGTAGGGAGTAGTAAGTAGTGAGTAGTGAATAGTGAGTAGCGGGAAGTGAGTAGTGAGTATTGACTAGCGAGTATGGGAGTAGCGAGTAGCGAGTACTGTGTAGTCAGTATTCTGTAGGGAGTAGGGAGTAGCGAGTTGTGGGTAGTGAGTAGTGATTTGTGGGCAAGGAGTAGTGAGCAGTGAGTAGTGCGTAGTGGATAGTGGGTAGTGAGTAATGAGTAGTGATTAGTGAGTAGTGAGTAGGGAGTAGCGAGTCGTGCTTAGTGAATAGTATTGAGTAGTGAGGAGTGAGTAGTGAGTAGTGAGTAGGGAGGAGGGAGTAGTGAGTAGTGAGTAGGGAGTAGTGAGTAGCGAGTAGTGGGTGGTGGGTAATGAGTGGTGGATAGTGCGTAGTGAGTCGTGAGTAGTGAGTAGGGGGTAGTGAGAAGTGAGTAGCGAATAGCGAGTAGTCAGTAGCGGGTAGTGAGTAATGACTAGTGAGTACTCTTTGGGGTTGGGTTAGTGGTTGGGGTTCGGATTAGGCGTTTGGGTTAGGGTGAGGACTAAGGGTAGGGGTGGCGGGGGTCGGGTTCCGGAGTCAGGGGGCGGCGTGGCGAAAGGGGGGGGGTGCGGCCAAAGGGGGGGACGGGGGGGGGGGGGGTCGGACCCCCCCTCCCTTTTGAAAGGGGGGGAGGGGTGAGGGGTCCCCGACGACGAATCGGGGAAAGGGGGGAGAGGGGGGGAAGGGGGTTCCCCGACGACGGATCGGGGAAGGGGGGGAGGGGGAGGGGGGTTCCCGACAACGGATCGGGGAAGGGGGGGGGGGTCTTAACCCTCCCCCCTTGGGGAGAGGCGCACCCTCGGAAAAAGCACACAGACACAATTCATCGTCGACTCCCAGGAAATATGGGAAATCGGGGGGGAGACGAACATCCAGAAAATATGGGAAAATATAGGGAATCCTTGGATTTGTCTATTTATTTGTGTGTCCCAGGGCCCCTTCACCTTTTCCCTCCTCTTCCATCTTTGCCCCCAGCAGTCTCCAGAGCTCCTGAGGGCCCCCCCTTAGGTTCTCTCGGAGGCCCGGGGCCCCCTGGGAGGTCTCCGGGAGCCCCGGGGCAGTCTCGGGGAGGTCCGGGAGAGGCCCAGCAGCAGTAAGTCGGGCCTGTCCCTCTGCAGGCGGAATTGTCACCAGTAGTCAACAACTAGTCAGCGGGCGATGTTTTTAGAGTATTTGTTCGCACGTTGAAGCAATTGTTTGGTGAATTTGTTGTGCATTTTTCTTCCAAAATCCGCCTGTAGGGGGACACGCCCGACCTAACAGCAGTATCGAAAGGCCTCGATCCTCGATCTTCGACCTCCTCCTTTGGCTCATCCTTCTGCATCCCCTTTCCCCTTCTCCTTCCCGCCCCGCCGCGAGCAGGGAAACACGGTCCAGCTGCTGCTTCAGCTGACACCCTCCGACGAGTTTCACGACGAGGACGTGCAGTACCATTTGGCCACCCAAGGCTCCGCGATCACACGGAGCGAGACAGGGAGTCACTGCCCACCAGAACACCCCAACCCAACCCGAAGTCCCCGATTTGCCCTCCATTTCCAGAGGGGGGGGGGATCGGAGAACATTGATAAAAAGCTCGTGTGGAATCCGTACCCCCCCAAACCCGAGATTCGGGTCTTCGGGTTAGGTTGAGGTGGTTTGGTAGGCAGTCAAGGAGGATCATTCGACGCGATGTGTTGAGTCTGTTTGGGCATGTTTTGTATATTTTCAATTGTTTTTCATTTTTAATCCAAAATCCCACTGTAGGAGGACACGCCCGACCTAAATGTAGTCAGGGAGGATCGTTCGACGAGGTCGTCAGGTGTTTTTGATGATGGTGGTGGTGGTGGTGGTGGTGGTGGTGGTGGTGGTGGTGCTTCGTGGGCCTCCAGGGGTGTCCTCGTGCGGCCGTGCCCGCCTCCGGGCTTCTGCCAGGGCGCGCTCCTTCGGAGAGGCCAGGAGGCCAAGACTTCGAGTGGGACGAGCTTCTCTGCTTTCGCCTCGCGCGGGATCCTGCCCCAAATCCCTTACGAATCGACCCCCCCTAAAAGCAGGACACCCTCCAAATGCGAGCTAATATTCTGGAACCCTCTCTCCGACGGGGCGCCTTGATAAACCAGACCCCTTATGCTCCAATCCAAAGAAAGCGCCCTAATAAACTGGACCCCCAGTTACAAAAAAGACGCCTAAAACCGGACCCGGGGACGATTAATAAGGGATTTGGAGTAGTGCGGGCACTTTTGTCGGCACTGGCCGTGGAGGTCTTCGCACGCGCGAGGTTGTACTTCATCAGCTTGCTGCCTTCCTCCCTCTGTCGTGTCTCTTTCTTAGTTCCTTCGCCTCCGCCCCCTCCTGGTTGCCGCTGTGTGTGGCTTCAACGAATGGCCGGTTGGGCCAGGGGGCTCCCGCCCACAGGGCCGTGGTCTCTTGTTCCCGACCCGTGTCCTCCTCCGCGTTGCTCCCCCCTCCTGTTGCACACATCCTTTCGCAGGCGATGTTTCTCCCCGAATCCCCGAGTTTCGCCCAAAAAGTTTGGCCTTTCAGAAAAATTGAAAAACCCTGGGATACACCCCAAGGGGGCTATTCGGACGCACCCCTATCGAGGATGGGCACCCCCCCATCGTATATCCCAGGGTTGGGCCCCAAATTTCTGGTCCATTCGGAAACCCCACGAAGCCTGGGATAGGGGTCGACATATCCCTTGTTAATCCTTGACGGCACAGTTCGAGAGGAACCACGGTCATCAGGCTTGCTGAGCGCTGTGCGCTGTCGTGTTGGCAGTGCGAGTCCTTTCGATGTGTTGGGTGAGGCGTGATAACACATGATGGGGCCGTGTTCCATGAGACGCAGGTCTTCGTGCGGGAATGGGGAGGGAGAGAAGCTGTATGAAAGGGGAAGGTGCAGAGGCGGGGGGTCGAGGGGTAGGAGGAGGGGAGGCATCTGGGGGAGCGGGAGGAAGAAGGAGGAGATGTCCAGTCGCGACGGCGCCAGAGGGCGTCAGACCCGACGCTCGCCGGAGACGGCCCGCGCGGGGGCGCGCGGAGCATGGCGCGCCGCGTGGCGCGCCTCTCGCGGCCTGCCTCGCGGGCCCACCCCTCGTCTCACCACCCACCAGACCACCCCAGCCCAGCCCGCAGGAAGGCTTTTCAACATGCCATCCATTTCCAGTGCGGGGGGGGGTTGTGTCGGGGAGCATCGGAAAAGCACATCTGGAGCGACGCAAACCTACCGTACCCTCCCCGACCCCAGATTCGGGTCTTCGGCCTGGGCTGGGGTGGTCCTCCCGGCGGGCGGCGCGGGGGCGGGCGAGGCGCGGCCTCGCCTGCCCCCGCGCCCTTCGCGGGGGGGCGGGCGCGGCGCTCGCGCGAGGGGCGGGGGTGCCCCGGAGGCCGGGCGGCGGAAGCGCAGGACTGCGTCGGAGTTGCAGGTGGAATCGGGCCTGCGCCTCTACAGGAGGGATGATCCAGGATGGTAAAAAAGTAATTCGGGGATTATTTCTGGACTATTTTCCGCATTTTTTGATTTTTTTGTGTCGTGTTAGTTTTTCGCCCAAAGTCCCCCCTGTAGGGGGACAGGCCCGACCTAAGCTTGAGGGACGGGGGTCAATGCAAGCGGGGGTCAGCCAGGGCACTGGATCCTGCAGGATCCTGCGAAGACCCCCTCTGGCTGACCTGGGTTAGCGGGCCGCTCGTGGCCGCGGCGGCCGCGCATATTGGCTGGACCCGGGTTTGCGAAGTCCTGCGTTGCAGTTTTTGTTTCTGCATTGCAGTTTTTTGGTTTCCTGCTGACCCGGGTCTGATTGACCCGGGTTAGCAGACCTCCGACTGCATATCCTTAAGTCGGGCCTGACCTTCCTCAGGAGGGATATTCAAGAATAGTCCAAACATAGTCTGGGGACGATTGTTGGACCATTTTGGAATTTTTGTTGGGGTATGTTTGGGGGATCTCTTATTTTTTGTCCAAAATCCGCCTGTAGGTGGACACGCCCGACCTAAGCATATCCCCTGATATCCAGGCGATGCAGTTTTTTCAAAGCAGGCGACTCCGCTCCATTTTCGGGCCGCAGGACCCTCACAGATCGATCCAGCTCGAGAAGTGGTGCAGAAAGATATGCCGTGATTGTTCGTGCGACGCTGCAGTTTTTTCGCGACGGCGGATCTCAGGGTCCACTGCTCCCTGGCCAGGCCCATCCTGCCTGGCCAGTGAGCAGTGGATATGTATAGATTCCGCCGCCCTAGGAGGTTGGCCTCCTGGGAGCCTCGGGAGGGAGAAAGGAGAGTCAGTGGCGCGCGCCGCCGTCGGGAGTCCGGCGGCGATGGTCTTTTGTCGAAGATCCGGCGTTTCTTCAGCACGGTGGGGGCCTTCGGTCAGAATTGTGCCAAGGAGGCGTCATACCCTGGAGGATTCCTCATCCGATGAGGGCGACGGTGATGTCCATGGCCAAGCCTCGCTTGGTGTTCCACCGGCTTCCAGACACTGTCGGGGCTCAAGAGACGGTGGTCAATGCAAACGGGGGTCACTCAGAGCGCCGGATTTTGCAGGATCCTGCAGGGTCAGGGTCGCACTGACCCGGGTTTGGGTGCATGAGCCTACAGGATTCTGCAGGTTCCTTCGCGCTGACCTGGGCTTGGGCGCAGGATCCTGCAGGATCTTGCAGGATTCTGCGAGGCCTGACTGACCCGGGTCTGGATTGACCCAGGTCAGACCCCTGCAGCATGGAGAAGGATCAGAGGAGGAGGAGGAGGAGCAGGAGGAGGAGGAGGAGGAGGAGGAGGAGGAGGAGGAGGGAGGAGGAGTAGGAGGAGGAGGAGGAGGAGGAGGAGGAGGAGGAGGAAGAGGAAGAGGAGGAGGAGGAGGAGGATCAGACCCCGACGTCGCGTTTTTTTTTTTCTCGCAGCGTCGGCCCCCAGAGGCCTGGGCACCGTCCCCGAGGCACCGGTGTCTCACCCCGAGCAGTTGCTGTTACGGTCCCGGGGCTCGGTGCTCCAAATCCTTTGTTAATCGGGGACGGAAAAGAGGGGGGTGATGACTAGGGGGGGGTGGATATCATGGCGGGGTCCATGATATTTCCCAGATTTCATGGCGCCTCTTCTTGTTTCATTACGTCCCTGGCCCCCCCGCTGGGCCGCGCACATGCCGCCGGTCATGATTTGCACCCCCCCATCTTGGACACCCCCCTCTTTGCCGCCCCCGAGTTAATCGTCCCCCAGGTCCAGTTGTTCGAGGCGCCTTTTTTTTAACTGGGGGGTCCGATTTGTCGGGGGGGGCTTTCTTTGGATTGGAGCTCAGGGGGGGTCCGGTTTATGAAGGCCCCCCGTCGAAGAGGGGGGTCGGGAACATTAGGTCGCATTTGGAGGGGGCCCGGTTTTTTAAGGGGGGGGTCGATTGATAAGGGATTTGGGGTAAGGGCCTTGGAGCCCTCTCGGGGGCTTCCTGGGCCGTCTTGGGGCGATCTTGGAGGCCTCCTGGGCCGTGTTGGACGTTGTGAAAGCCAAAGAGGCGAAGGTGCTAAAGTCATACGCTTCCTTCAGGGAATGGGGCGATTTGTGCTTCTAGGGGGCCCTCTTGGGGCGCAGCTTGGGGGCCTCTGGGGGCGTCACGCGCCGATGACCCCAAGGCATCGGCGGATTTTTGTCATTCTTCCTTATCCCATGACCTCGCAGCGCAGTCGGTCCGAGGTGTGAGATCGAGGTCGGTTCGGGACGGGTGCCCTGATGTTCTTCGCGTCTGCTGGACGCTTCTGTGCAGCATCCTGCGGGAGGGTCCGCTCGAGTGATCTTATGGTTCGGGGTGTTGGGCGCGCCGCCTGCCTTTCCCCGTCGGGCCCGGGCCCTTACCCTTGTCCTTGCCCGTGCCCTTGCCAGCCTGGTTCCGCGCACAGATCGTTCGTCTCGTCGAGTTCCTCGGATGCAGACCTTGACGTCTCTCTCGCAGTCATCCACCGTGGTGAGGTCTCCGTTCTGGCCGTTGCAGGGTCTCATGTTCTTGAAGGATGTTTGTCCCAGGTCTGGCCGTGCATACGCGATCTACCACGGAATTGCAATGTCTGCTGGGTGCAGTGAAGAGTACGTGGAATAATCTTCGCAGATCCGCGAAGATTTTCTCGTTCTGCGGGCGGGTGCCGCCGAATGCAAAAAGAGCGGCACTTGGAGTCCTTCGCAGGACTCTCGAGTGAGTGCAGCACGCGGAGGGATGCCCCCTCGGCCACGTGCCACTGGAAAATGCAAGGAGGGAATGCAAGGAGCGGCACTTGGAGCTCTTCGCGGACTCTCGAGTGAGTGCAGCACGCGGGCGGAATGCCCCCACGGCCACGCGCCACCGCTGCCCTTTTTTGTCCTCCTGCTGCCCCCTCTCGGCATCGGCGCAGGGGCGTCGGCGGTCCGCCCCTGGCGCCGTCCTCGCCGCGGGCCTGCGGGGAGGCACCAGGCGCGTTCCACGACTTGCAGAATGCCTACGGTAGGTTCGTGTCGT